CCAGAGATGTCCTGCCAAGCGCTTTTCAGACTACAAAACATGAAATTTAGGTGCCATTTACTTGCTACTAATACTTTTGATCAATATTTTGCAGTGTTTATCATGTGCCTCAGTTATACCAGCAGCATTGCTCCCATCAGAGTGGGTGAACACTGCTTAATGCTGCATCAGCAAACATGATCTGCTGGGCATATGCCATCTATCTAATGGTAAAAGCTGTAGTCTACAAGAAAATGTCTTTCCTGAATTTTAATAGTTTGGGACTAGTGGTCCATCGATCATTTCTTTCCAGGGCAACATCGCATGACAGAACTGCTGTGTTGAATCAGCCAATAAATAATTAGATTTTATTCAAATTGTGTGAATGTGGGTGCAAACGGTAGGGCAGGACCTGCTTACCCTTTTCGCAAACACCTGGTGTCATCACAGATTTTTAGTAGTCCATTCATATAATTTTCACAGCTGTTTTGCCCTTTACATCTAATGGAATCTGTTTAAGCTCATAATCAAGACTGGTTTTTCTCTTGCATTGACTTTTTATTTATTACGTTGATTTAAAACCCTGCAATCACTTCTTATCTCTTACAACAAACATTGGGGTGCTGTTTAATACCACACTCAGCTATATGACGGCGGTCTGTAAATAATCCAGTCTGGACTAGACAATCCAGTGATTGACCACACAAGCATCGATCCATGCAAATGAGATACAATACAGCAGTTCCCGAAAAAAGAGGAAAATTCTAGGAGGGTCTTGTGATAGAAAACGTATGATGTCCGAAAACCTCTGCTGCTGAAAGCTCTGGTTGAAAACAGGACAATCCGCGACGGTGGTCCGGTTTTCGATTGTATTTTTCAGAGGGTTTTTTTTAATCTTTGATTATATTTTTACGCGGAAGAAGATTTTTCCCGAGGACTACTGTTTTAAAAAACGCGATTTTCTGCGTTTCCGCGGAGATTTCACATCCCTGACAATAACATGCATCAACCAAGTCACCAGCCTCACCACCTGATCCTGTTAGTTGTCTCTTACAAGCATAGGATGCTGAGGGCCTATATTCTCACCAGGACTTCCACGGGTGGACTGGTAATTGAAATTGATAGGCCTACTGAACACCATTGTGACTAAACCAGAACACACCCCAGTCAACTTTTACTATGCGCAAGGTCATATGATATAGAGGACCTACACGGCAACATCAGAAACAGCTAATTGAAAGTGACACTTTTGTAGACATCTTGACTAGTTATCCTCCATGGCAACCAGGATGCGGCTGTGATATTTTCATTAATTCAAGACAACCTATTTACAAGGACGGTAAACGAAGAGTTTCCCTCCTATTCTAATACAGCTACAACACTAACTGCCTAAATCTCATTATAGCAAGACAAAGGGAACTCTGCTGTCCACGCCCACAACAATGGCTGTGCTGTGTTCATGCAGTCAATGTGTTAGATTTACAGTCAATATTCAGCCATCAAATGTACCTGCTTCTTTAGAAAACCGATGTCAATAAATTATCTCAAAGTCAGGTTAGAAAATATTGATCACCTCAGGAAGAAATTGAGAAATAATTATTGTTGATGACAATGGTAGCTTTCTAGGAATCGGTGGCCTATTGAGACAGAAGCGTAGTCTGCGAGTACCTTATCATGTTAGCATGGTGATGTGCTTAGTCTGACCACTTTCTCCAAACACAAATTGATCTTATAGCAGATTCCAACAAGATTCTAAAGAAAGAAATCAATTGGCTCCCAGAGTTATGTCTCAAACACAATACTGGATCACATTCGGCATGGCATGTGACGTCAAGTGATGTGAGCGTAATATGTCTCAGCACAGGAAACATAATAAAAAAATCGCCAATCTCAAAGTTCACTTTTCCATATACGGTATTGATTGGTTGGAGTAGATGCATGATTTTGACAATTATTTCAGAAAAAGGGATTGCTTCATTTAACAGGATCACTTTTATTGCGAGTCTGATTACCTTCGAGAACAGATTATGCCTGAGCAATCATGAGTGCCATCCATATTTGTGAAGCCAAGGTATCGATGCTGTCATTAAACTGGAAACACTCAATCAACCCTGTACAATAAAAACTGCCCTGTGTCAGTAACATGCATCGGGGACACAGTTCGGAGCAGGAAACGGGAAATGGTTTTCTGCTATACTGGGTGCAGCGTAGACATCAGTTCAGAAAGGAAAATCATGACTTGATAGCAAATCTGTTCCGCTTGACTGGACCTGTTTTAGGCTCATCAGTGGCCACATCCAAGGGGGTTCTGGGTTCTTGGACTTTTACTCCTGTAGAATCTAAATCTATGGAGCCCCTAAATCTTTAACTTTTAAAATCTGTATAGTTTGGTCCTTGGAGTGAGTGAGTGAGTGATATGGTGTGCGGGGCTTGTGTTGCACTACTGACCAGAATGATTCAGCCTGGACCAGACCATCCAGTGATTAACATCATGAGCATTGATCTACCCAATTGGGATACAATGACATGTATCAACCAAGTCAGCGAGCCTGACCACCCGATCCCATTTGTCGCCTCTTACAACAAGCATTGTCACAATTTAGGGAAAGCATGGGTTGCTGAAGACCTATTCCCTACCCTCTTCATGGGTAAGATCATATATAGTTTATTATACGACACACATGCAAGTGTAATATTTTCTTTATGACCCAATGTTTCTTAATCCTTTTGAGCTCCCTTTCAGAAAAATGCACTGATCACGACCACCGACTTAGAAAACCATAATTGTCGAATGACGTCGTTTCTAGATGTGACATCATTTCAACCTTACGTCATAATACAATTCGAAAGACATCAACAATGCCGTCCAGGTGACGTAAACAATACATGGAGGCACATGAAGTGATATTTGCACCAGTGCACATATATTTTTATGAATTCAGTTATTCCTAACCCTATGGTTAATAAATATATTTTAGAAACTTTTGAGAAATTGACGTGGACCAGGATCATACTCAGTGTACATCTAGGGTAACCATGGTAACAAGACAAGAAGCGAGTAGGGCTCACTAATATCCCCGACTTCAACTCCAACATACTTCTAAATTCAAAACATGAAAAAAGCAATATTTTCTCAGAAAATCCACTTACTGAAATCAAACATCGCACTGCACCTCGCCTACTGGTAAAGAAACTGTACCCCCAATAGGAAAGGAATCCATGATGTAGTCTTCCAGTTAGATCAAAAGGTTGCACAAATGCAAAACATCATGTTTTTTCAGAAAATGCACATGTCAAAATGAAACTTTATGCTGCACCTCTTCTATTAGTATGGAAACTGTTCCCTAAACTTGAAGAATCCATGCAATAGTTTTCAAGTAATAGGTCGCACAAATGTTTTAGTGAAAAATTTCTAAATATAGAAATGTACAAAAAGCTGTATTTTTTCTGAAAATTAAAATTTTGAAATCACACTTTGCACTTCACATCTCCTATAGGTATAAAATGTGTCCACCAAGTTTGAAAGGAATCTATATATGAGATATCAAGTTATAGGTCACACACAAAAATGTCCTCGGCTGGGGGAATAATAAACCCACAATCATGGGATCCCCAGGCTTATACCAAAGGGGAATAGCTGCAGGTCAAATGGCTAGGTCATTCAGGCCGAAATTTGGTATCCACACTACTATCACCTTTTGGGGCTGTAATGGACCGCCATTTCAATCCTAAGGATAATTTCATGTACACGAAAAGTATTGATGGGCCTTGGTGGCCAAACAAACAATGTGCCTAAACACAAGTCTGAGTTTGATTTCTGTGTAAACAGTGTGAATGAATAGCTCCAAATCATGTACACGACAATCGTCAGTCATAGATATAGCAGGGGATGCTTCTATGCACAGATTCCTATTGATCAGTTGTACTCTACACACTGCCGAACTGCCTAATCAAGGGGTACTATTGCAATGAGGAGCCTGCCAAACACTGTAAGGATCTACGACTGTCAAGAGACTGTCAAGTCAGAATATTGTTGTTGATATGAAACAGGGTAAATGATGGTGTAACAGATTAATGATAAAAGTCAAGCCGGTGACAACCATGTGACTAAATGTACATTTCATCTGACCACATTCCAGCAATATCTCAGTTGGGGAAAGCCAGAGATGGGATTCACACAATGTACCCATGTCGGGAATCCAACCCGGGTCTTCAGCATGACGTGCGAATGCTTTAACCAGTAGGCTAACCGACTCCCCCCCCGCAGCCCCCCAGAGAACAGAAGGATGGTGGCTTGATCATCATGCAGATCATATCAAACAATGTCAAAAGATGGTCCTTTTTGTTACTCTGCCTGGAGCTCAGTATTAAGGGGCTTAAACAAGAATACAAGAATAACACAGTTAACACTCCAAGCCGACTAGTCCCAGTTTTATCCCCTTAACGCGGAGCAGGGTAACAACAAGTACCAAATTTTAACGTCTTTAGGTAAGACACTGGTGGGGGTGGATCCCCTGACCTTCTGCTCTACAGAATATACACCGGACTTATCCAGGTACTAGTATCTGCTCAAGTGCGGTTTATTTGTTCCCTGACCACTGGATCCGTATGCATTCCAGTTAACATTCTCAACTCCCTGGGAAGTATGCCTCTGAACTCTGGAGGTTTTTTTAGATCCACCTCACATATCGAGCACCCCTTCTCTACTGGGTGAACAGAGGCACATTTGAACTAAGCCACAGTTTTGACACTTGGGTTTCGGGGGTATGAACGTATTTGTGTTTCCAACATCTGGTCATCTACCATTGGATGAGTGGGTTCTTGTGAGTGCACAGGATGAATGTACTATACACTAGGTGTAGTGACAACATTGTAAGGATCTGTAAACAATGTTGGTCCATGGGTGGCTTTGTCACACGCAGGATACAATCTCAGCACCTGGCATTTGCTAGCCTGGCGCTTTAGACCGCTTGCCCACTCCGCCCCCATGCATTATGCCCTGAACCAATCACAACATATACCTCTGAGAGCAATCCAGGAGTCTTCAGGCCTGCTGTGTTTGGCCAGTTCCTCCGACGACACCTCCAAGACCTTCCCGCCAACTCCGGTCAAGTCCTGGCCGCTTCGCCCTAATCGGATCCAGTCCATCAGCGACCTGCCAGGCTTCAGCGCCACCTTGTTGCGACCTGCACTCGGGGACGGTGAAATTCGTTGTTGGGAATTTGCCGCAGGAAACTGCGGCACAGTAAGGTTGGGACCCGCCATATTGCTGCTGCCTTTATTACTACCACTACTACTACTGCTATGGACTGGCGAGTCAACCTTGGACTTTCCACACCCCAGTTTGGCAGTTCTGAAACAGATCATATTCAGAATTTATACAAAACAGAAAGTGAGAAGCTTTTGAAAGAAACTGACTTGCCATAACACCAAAAATTTGGCTCGAATGGGGAAAAAATCCCTGAAAGTAAAATGTTACCAAACCGTCTACGACTATCCTTGCATCCAACAGGAACATCGCAACTTACAAAGAATAAAGTACAGTTTCAATGAACAAGGGCGGATCAAGCATTTGTATAAGGGAGGGGTCCACAATATCAAAATCCTCTTTCAGTCAATTTTACTGCCTACAATATACAACTTTTGGTTTTCAAAATGGGGGGGTGGTGGTCCGGACCCTAGACCCCCAGCCTGCATCTGCCTATGATGAGTAATGTATTATTAGAAGTGATGGGTATTTGACCTCCATATTCTAATCTATATTGCAATATTGATTCATGTATTGCAGAACATACCATATTATATTGCATGTCTTCTTTCACATGTAATTTGTAATGAACCTGAATAAAAATGTACCCCAACATCCGTCTTCCCGCGCCCATCTCTTACTCATTTCTGCCATTATGTTGGATGTTGACACATCATGTCCAGGAAAGTGGTCACAGTAGTTTCACTTGGAATATTAAAGTTGCTAATTTCTGAATTTTCATTTTGACTTGTCACTTATGTAAACTTTGGCAACAAGACGAAAATATGCATGATTTTGAAAAACACTATATACCGGTATATTCCAAACGTATTTATTAGCATTTCAAAACTTGGTATACCGGTGTAACAAAAAAACATGCACCACTGACAATCATATAACAAAAAACAACTAAAATCCATTTAAGGTTTTCAATTATTTATTTGTTGTTTTATGAGGCCAAGGGACGTACAAAAAACAATGAGAAAAACAGTAAATTGACCTTGACAATTTTGAAGGGTAGGGAGCTTTGTAACATAATTGGGTGGAATGATTTGCCAAGACAGGAAAGAAAGAGCCTTAAAGAAGGATGACTAGATACCTTCTGGAAACTACTTTTCCAATACATACATGGAGAATATTCTACTTGATTTTTGCTGCTTATAAGACGATGCAAACAGTTATTGCTGAGCTGAAACCTGTTTGTTTGACATTTGAATGTTCTTATTTATTATTAGCCAATGACCTACATTGAATTCTTAGCCCAAAAAACATTACCATTTGACTAGCATATTCCACCATACACCCTCTCGCAAGTAACCATTATGACATGTGCATTGCACTTATAACACTGTATAACTCAAGTCAGCCCCTAACTCTGCGCCACTACTATAATACTGGACTGGCACTTCTTGTTGTGCCACAAAGTCCAAATGTCATAAACTATTCTTACTCAATACTCTAGTTTCACCTTTTTCAGTCAACGGTATCCATGACAACCATTCAGACAAAAATGCCACACAGTATAACCAAAATGTCAGCCTCCAAGTTCAAACATTCACATTATTAGGTAAAGAACAATAAGATCTACCTTAATTCATTCAAAGTTCTAATTCTGTCTAAAGAGAAAAGATACAACAATTATGTCAAGGGGTACTAGTGATGTAACATCATGGTGATACAGTATTGTATTACATACAGGGACAGTGTCACACCATCAGTACTAGTGATGTGACCATGGTAATACAGTATTGTATTACATACAGGGACAGAGTCACGCCATCAGTACTAGTGATGTAACCATGGTGATACAGTATTGTATTACATACAGGGACAGTCACACCATCAGTACTAGAGATGTAACCATGGTGATACAGTATTGTATTACATACAGGGACAGAGTCACGCCATCAGTACTAGTGATGTAACCATGGTGATACAGTATTGTATTACATACAAGGAGTGTCACACCATCAGTACTAGTGATGTAACCATGGTGATACAGTAATGTATTACATACAGGGACAGAGTCACGCCATCAGTACTAGTGATGTAACCATGGTGATACAGTATTGTATTACATACAGGGACAGTCACACCATCAGTACTAGAGATGTAACCATGGTGATACAGTATTGTATTACATACAGGGACAGAGTCACGCCATCAGTACTAGTGATGTAACCATGGTGATACAGTATTGTATTACATACAGGGACAGTCACACCATCAGTACTAGAGATGTAACCATGGTGATACAGTATTGTATTACATACAGGGACAGAGTCACACCATCAGTACTAGTGATGTAACATCATGGTGATACAGTATTGTATTACATACAGGGACAGTGTCACACCATCAGTACTAGTGATGTAACATCATGGTGATACAGTATTGTATTACATACAGGGACAGTCACACCATCAGTACTAGAGATGTAACCATGGTGATACAGTATTGTATTACATACAGGGACAGAGTCACGCCATCAGTACTAGTGATGTAACCATGGTGATACAGTATTGTATTACATACAGGGACAGAGTCACGCCATCAGTACTAGTGATGTAACCATGGTGATACAGTATTGTATTACATACAGGGACAGAGTCACGCCATCAGTACTAGTGATGTAACCATGGTGATACAGTATTGTATTACATACAGGGACAGTCACACCATCAGTACTAGAGATGTAACCATGGTGATACAGTATTGTATTACATACAGGGACAGAGTCACACCATCAGTACTAGTGATGTAACATCATGGTGATACAGTATTGTATTACATACAGGGACAGTGTCACACCATCAGTACTAGTGATGTGACCATGGTAATACAGTATTGTATTACATACAGGGACAGAGTCACGCCATCAGTACTAGTGATGTGACCATGGTAATACAGTATTGTATTACATACAGGGAGTGTCACACCATCAGTACTAGTGATGTAACACCATGGTGATACGGTATTGTTTTACATACAGGGACAGAGTCACGCCATCAGTACTAGTGATGTCACACCATGGTGATACAGTATTGTATTACATACAGGGACAGAGTCACACCATCAGTACTAGTAATGTCACACCATGGTGATACAGTATTGTATTACATACAGGGACAGAGTCACACCATCAGTACTAGTAATGTCACACCATGGTGATACAGTATTGTATTACATACAGGGACAGAGTCACGCCATCACTACTAGTGATGTAACAGCATGGTGATACAGTATTGTATTACATACAGGGACAGAGTCACACCATCAGTACTAGTAATGTCACACCATGGTGATACAGTATTGTATTACATACAGGGACAGAGTCACGCCATCACTACTAGTGATGTAACAGCATGGTGATACAGTATTGTATTACATACAGGGACAGAGTCACGCCATCAGTACTAGTGATGTGACCATGGTAATACAGTATTGTATTACATACAAGGAGTGTCACACCATCAGTACTAGTGATGTAACACCATGGTGATACGGTATTGTATTACATACAGGGACAGAGTCACGCCATCAGTACTAGTGATGTAACAGCATGGTGATACAGTATTGTATTACATACAAGGAGTGTCACACCATCAGTACTAGTGATGTGACCATGGTGATACAGTATTGTATTACATACAGGGACAGAGTCACACCATCAGTACTAGTGATGTGACCATGGTAATACAGTATTGAATTACATACAAGGAGTGTCACACCATCAGTACTAGTGATGTGACCATGGTGATACAGTATTGTATTACATACAGGGACAGAGTCACACCATCAGTACTAGTGATGTAACACCATGGTGATACAGTATTGTATTACATACAGGGACAGTGTCACACCATCAGTACTAGAGATGTAACACCATGGTGATACAGTATTGTATTACATACAGGGACAGAGTCACACCATCAGTACTAGTGATGTAACACCATGGTGATACAGTATTGTATTACATACAGGGACAGAGTCACACCATCAGTACTAGTGATGTAACACCATGGTGATACAGTATTGTATTACATACAGGGACAGTGTCACACCATCAGTACTAGTGATGTAACATCATGGTGATACAGTATTGTATTACATACAGGGACAGAGTCACGCCATCAGTACTAGTGATGTAACAGCATGGTGATACAGTATTGTATTACATACAGGGACAGAGTCACACCATCAGTACTAGTAATGTCACACCATGGTGATACAGTATTGTATTACATACAGGGACAGAGTCACACCATCAGTACTAGTGATGTAACATCATGGTGATACAGTATTGTATTACATACAGGGACATACCATTGTACAGATTATGTAGTTTTGTGAATAGTGATTTTTAAAAAACAACAATTATACGTGTATAACCATGATAATAAAACCAATGAAAGATTCTTAAAACCTCCAGATTGCCTGAGTACTAATAAAGAAACAAATCTCCTGATAATTCAGTGAATTATTACATTTACAGCCCTATCTGTAGGGATACTTAGCAATAGTCAATACTTGTGGAGGAAATCGACCCCTTAATGTGTGAACGATAATCAATTATTTATCAGCAGTGAATGATCACAAGCTCTTGGAAAATCTTGAACATATTGTTGGCAGGTGACTGTACTGTACTGTGAGCATGTAACACCTGAAACTAATCAAGTAAATACACTGTTCATGGTATATCTGGATTTTGTAGACTTATATTAATTTTATTCAATTAATAATTTTATTCGGGGTATATGAATTAGCATTGATTCTGAAGGCTTCTACAAGGGGGTCGTCTTATATGTTTTGTCGCTATATAGATGACGATATTTAGTAAGCTTTTCTGATTAAAGTCCATAAATTAAAGCAAAGATCTACTGAAAAGTGACAGTGAGGTTTGGGTTAGGAGGCTGAAAAGTATTTGGGAAAATCTTCTTTTCTCCACATGGTTACATCATCTAGTGCAGCGTTTGTTACACTCAGAAACTGGGAGGGCTGGTGTCTTTGAGGTTTGCTTCGACAGTATTGTAACCTGGATAATTCAGTTAATCTTTGAGGTTTGCTTCGACAGTATTGTAACCTGGATAATTCAGTTAATCTTT